AAATTGGGGGGGGGGGGGGGGAGTTGACGTGACTTTCTTGGATGGATGGGAAAAAAAAAGAAAAAAGAATATAGTACTACGGGACCAATATATATTGGACGGTTGTTTTGAGGCTTCCTGGATTTTAATTAAGAGAGTAAAGGAAACCGAATAATCAGATGCCTGACTCCTCCTGGAGTTGACGCTTGACGAAATTAATTAAAGCTTAATTAAAACGGCTCTTTGAAATGCTAATTCTTTAACAAACTTGTGCGCCATAATACGCCTGAATTTTTAAATCCAAGGGAGCGTAGAACGGACGCTCAAACCTTTCACGGCGTTTGACATTTTTTATTCCTAATCCTTATCATATTGAAAATTTATAACAATTTTTTGTATCTCTTTTTTTTTTGTCTGCAGAATGCTGACGACGTGCCTATCAAGATGGCAATTTCACGTCAGAAGTGTACAAACTGTATTTGCTGAAGGATATGAAAAAGGGCGGGAAAAAGGAATCAATTTGAATATACGTAATACGTAGGTCAAAAGAGGAGCAGTACGTTTAAATATGTACATCAAATTTTATTATTATCACGAGCAGATAATTATATACAAATAGATATTTAATGTAATTTATCCATTTCTCTACGTTGTCTCATGATATCATTGATTCGTAATTCCATAATCGGTACGATACGTACATTTTTGAAAAATCCTCATGAATCAATGATTCAAAACGATTCTTAATTGAACTTTCAATTTTAACGAAATTACATTCTTTGTTTTGTTCTCTAAGCATCACGACTCGTAGATCGTGATTCATTACGTCTTAATATCCACATTCTCTGTCTTGTCTCTTAGCGTATTAATACTGCATTACATCATTTTATATCAAAGGGACTGTTTTCTAGGTTATACTAACAAAATTGTCTAGTCTCTAAAACGTCCAATCGGCAGAGCGTTTAGGACTGATGGAATTTATTGATATTATATCATATATATATATATATATATATATATATATATAATATAATTACAATAACGATTGGTGATATTATTTATCAGTGAAATTTTCAAATTTCTCGCGCAGAAGACACGTTTCATTTTTATTTTTGTATTCCCTGTTCCTCGTAGAACAAAGGAAATATAATATCTACTGATCTTTTAAATTCCGTCATTCCATTAGTTTCTACATATAAATTTATACGTTATATCTCTACGTTATATAATTAATGGATCAGTGAACGATATACTATATTATATTACGGTATATTTACACATCCACACGTGATTGTCTCAGACATTCATTGTCAGCCAAGTTAACTAATGAGAATGTCGTGTATCGGTCATATTTGACATTGTTCCTTATATTGACTACTATAAACCTGAAGGATACGTCCCTCTAGTCCGAGACACTTATTTCTTTTGTTATTTATTTAATTTCCAAATCTGTTTTCTTTAGTATCGATCCTCTTGCTTCTATCGTGTAATCCTTTTATAATGTTCTTACTGTCTCTACTTTTTCAAGCTAACAATCCCCATAGTCGCTTTATACGAATATCAAAATGGAGGGTGCCGCATTTTTCAAGAATATTCAAATTCAATTTCCTTACTACGCATACCGATTTGCTCGAGACACTAGGAATTTCATTTACAATAGATTCTCTTTTTATTCGACGTTCGCGTCTCCACGGCGGTTCTTTACTTCTGTTTATTGCACTTTGGCAAATATTCATGGCCGCCAGTTTGAATCCAATTGGTTGAATATGGGAGTCTGATTTGTCCACACGAAAATAAGTCAACATCGAAATTGGATTTTGGAAGTCAAATCTCGTGGGGGGTCCCTATTCAGTTTTTCTTATTTTTTGGAAATCCAATAATTTCTTTTTTCAAAAACCAATACACGTCTGTCTACTTTTATCTAGGATTATCGAACATCGCAGACTCTGATTTTCAGTGTACAGTATGTTCAAACCTGAACCAGGAATAATCTCGAAATTGGATTCTATCCTTAGAAGCAATCAACTTCAGACCATCTGCAGACCCTTGGTGATGTTCTCGACATGTTCCTTAGCTCGAAGTCTTAAGGCTTGGATACTGGAGGTACGAGGATCGTGTCCTGGTGGACTAGGTGGCGGATGAACGTGTCCGTTACCGGGTATACTGGCAATTCCACTACTGAGGGAACCGACGGCTAAAAATGAAAAAAAGTATATGCATATAAATCTTTGTTATAAGATTATTTGTCATGTGTTTTTTAATACTATTATTTATTTAAATTACTATTTTATATGTTACTTCTAGCACACCAGGAGTTCACATTCAAGGGAAATTTCGTCTCGTCGTAAAAAATGCTATGCCATGCAGGATCATTGAGAACGTAATGAGAAATAGATTTTTTTCCTTCGTCTTACCTTGCACGGCGTTACTGACAGTGGTAACGTTTGGTGGCGACGGCAATCGTCTTGGTGACGTCAAATAACTCGGGTATCCTGTATGGGGTGCAGCCAGGAAGCCAGGAAGAGCACTGAGAAGACCTGGTGGCGCCAGCCAAGGATCGCCTGGTAGACCTAGTGCGGGTCCTCCTACGTTTCTGTAATTTTAAAAGAAATATTTTCCAGTATGGAAAAATAACAAGAGCATCAGGTATGAAAGCAAGTTGATAAACGAAGTGCACACTGTAAAACTTAAGTATACTAACAAAATTTGTAACACATCTATAAACTAAAAGCCGTCTCAATACTTTCTCTATAATCGACATATTGCGTTACTGTCGTAATTACAATTTTTTCAATTAGTGCCATTAATTACACACCTCATACTAGCAGCATGATGATATTCGCTCAAGCCAAGTCTGGCAGCCTCCATTTTCTCCTGTCTCCGCCATTTCGCCCGTCTGTTTTGAAACCAGACCTGTAACAGCAAGAACGACAAAAATAATTAAATAAAAGAAAGAAAACAGTAAATAAGTTGGAATAAAAAAGATTTATCTGCTTAGTCAAACAAAACTAAATTCCCTGAAGTCATACCGTTTCTTCCACTACGTACAATATATACCTATAACATAATCCACTTGATTAAATGTTAATGATATTCGTATATTTGTTAAATAAGAAAAAAAAAAGGAAGTGAAAGTCACCTAAGTACATTGACCAACATGTGTTTACAAAGGGTCATTTATCCATACTGGTAAACTGGCCGAGTAAATACGTAAAGTGCTAACAAATATGAGCAAACAAAATCGAACGACAAAACGGAAGTTAATTTGCCTTTAAAGTTCCACTAAATAAATAGCTGAAAGAAATTCACGAGCAGTACATATACAATTATCCAATGTTCTTGTTAGACCAGAGTTAATGTATACCTGGCTTCCCTTTTTTTTTCTCATTGTTACCAGAATTCTTCAAGAGGAATCTCTATCCCATTTTGAGACATTAACTAGACCGAATGCTGAGGTAATAGCAGCTTAAAAGCGAACAAGCAATTCATTTTATCCTAATACGCAGTTAACCTATCTTCCAGGTGAAATCTCGTTCGCCAGACTAATTACTACTCTCAACTGGAAGAACATTGAGCATCGACCACCCGACGGTCAGTGGCGTCTTGAAAATTCTGTTTAACCCAACAGAAAAAACTTCCATTAGGTACAAAATTATTTGGTATTACCAGAGGTGGATGTCACTTTTAAGAAACAAGAAGAAAAACGCTTCTTATGACAGGTACGATGGTACACTGTTATGATTTCAAAATGCTTTGGCAGCTTTTAATCTAAATATTGTAAATAAAATTTAAAAAAAAATTAAAATTATAAATTCCGATGACACAGTTGTATGTTTCAGTGCAGCTTAGTTACACTCTTCAGTGTCGTCCTTGGGAAGTGAGAAAAGTAGCTCGGGGCAAAATGTCTGGGCGGAGCGGTCCACCCCTAAACTAGCTGGTAAGAAAGGCAGGGGACTTTGGTCCACCCTTCTTCGGCATCAAGAGGGTAACAAGCTCGAGGGCGAAATCGAAAGTGAGTGGATGGCTCCGTGGAAGAGGGCTGAGAAAGAGAGTTAGAGTAAGACAGGTATACAAGAGGGAGTCGGCCATGTTGATTTCTTTATTATAACATGGCTGCTGTTGGCAGGCTGCCAAGTCTGTTGCGTTAAAAGCCGATGGCTATCGAGTGCTTGGGCTTATGAATAATTCAACGACGACTCGGTACGTACAGCGGACAGGGATACGATTTCTTGCATGTACTTTTACGTACGTGCATATAAGGCAGATATGTGATTTACTTTTGGTTTGTTTCTAGCTTCTGTATTGGTCTTATACAGCCTGCGCCATCTGCCGGATAATGCGGAGACTGAGAGAACTGAATTGTTTTACACGAGAGATGCTGAGATGCGAGTTTATATACATATATATGCACTAGATTAAATAAGCTCTGGAAGGATGCTCGGAGCTTACTATACGTTGTGATAACCTTTTAAAATATCTGAGTGTCTATAAATGACTGGTAAATTGAAACGTTTTTGCGTCGCCATTAGAAAGACATTCCAAGCTCATCAGGTCGATATTCCGTTTATTATGAAGAGAAGCAATTTTCTTTCCTCGAGCGCGGATGAGAAGAGGCTACGGACAAGATGCCATGTTGAAATGATGGGAAAATAAGCGAATTTACCGTCGCCCTCTCTTGTATAATCTCGTAGGGGAGGGAGAGGGTGGAGATTCAATGGGGAAAAAGAGGGAAAGAGAGAGATTGTAGATCAGTGAGAACGTAAGAAAAAGATAGAAGGAGACGAACAGGCTTCGAAAGGAAATAAAACACGGCTCGGGGGCGGCCTTGCTCTTCGCGGAAATATAAAGAACACGGATAACGCGACTTAACCTTTTTATCTTGTAAATTTATTAGAGGAGGTACTTCCTCGACACTGCTAGGCAATGATATTGCCAGGTAAACTCGTTTTGTGACTTAAATACAGGAAAATTGAAATAAAATGGAAGTAATTTCAAGATTAAAATTAGACTGTCGTACCGGGCTGATATATTTTTGCCAGCTTCTACTTCTTATTATTATTGTCTTCTTGTTACTGTTATTTTTTAAGAAAATTGCCAAAGATCCTCCTTCTACCGTTAACACACTAATTCAATATCTTTCAGTTTCCCTGGCGTCTCTTCGAATTTCTCTGTAACGTCCGTTTTAAAATGTTCACTGCAGCGCCACTGCGAGCAGCGGCAAATGCTCGAAACGCAGACGACGTAAAATAACGGCTGCGCGATATCGCAATGAAAATCAGTTTTGCCAGATTTTCTTCGATCCTCTCATAGAAGAGCGGTCGGCTTTTATGAGAACGGCCCTGTAGGTCCTCGAATTTGGATTAGCGCCCGTAAAAGGTATTCGTAGCGTTTATGCCAGAGTGCATACATTGTACGCCATAGCATTAACAGATTTTCCTATTGTTCGACGCGGTGCCCCGTCCTCAAAAGAGTTGCATGCGCCACGCTCGAAAAGTGTCACAACGCATCTCACGCTTGACCGTTTATCCTCTCTCCTTCATTCTCTTTCTCTTTTTTTACTCTTTATCGTACACTTGTTTCCGTCTCTCTTCAACTTTTTTTTTTAACATCTAATAGACTAGAGAATCATTATGTTGTCGCAAGATTCGTGTGAGTTTCTTGACCGACTTTTGACCTGTGTGTAACAGTGAATTATCGTTTACTTAAAACATCCAAATTTTTTTTTTATGTAAATGAATGTTATTTACGACTTTCTTTTCTCCCCTGTAAATACTGTTAATTCTTTTTTTTTGCTACTATGGTCTTGAGTTTATTTCCTCTTGTCAGGCCGCTTTTGAAATGTCTTTCTAATGTCTGTACTATTTAGGGATGTGCAGCCAATGGAGCATCGATTGACTGTCGGCCGCACACCAGTTGTACGAGGACACTGTTGCCTTTGGGTATATTACAAGTCGATTAAAGACCTATCGCTAGTACTAGAGGGGTATTTTGAAATAAGCCTAGATTCCGGCTCGGGAACGACGCTCGAGGTATGCCTAGAGAAGGGTGATGTTTAGAGAGGGTTGGAGTCTATTATTCACCGCGCATTTTATACCCCCTGTCAAACTGTCGGCTAAATTCAATCCTATGCAGCGTCTCTCATCTTCTTTACAAAAAAAAATTTCAGTGCGCGAAATTAACGATAAGAAATTAGTTGACTATCAATGCGTCCAAAATTATTATCAGCAACAGTTGTTTGTCGTTCTAAATAAATGTTAAAAAAAGTAAATAGAGAGAATAAGCAATGAATTTTTTTGATACAAAAAAATATTAGTTGCCATTGCATTCCGATTTTTTGACATTGAAAGATTATTTTTTTTCTTTTATAAATCCTCATTTAATTTTAACGATAAAATCAGCGTGTGCTTATTTGTGCATAAGAATTTTTCATTCATAAGATTTCTTACGACGTACGTCCAGTTCAGAGAGATGAGCACCGCTGACAACCTTCTCCAATAAAGCCACCCCTGTCATTGCGTGTAATCACCCTTAAACACTCCAACGCCCCAGTCTAACCCTCGTTTCGCGATACAATACTAATGTGCTACAAATAACATCTCAAACACGATGCGATTTCATTCTTTACAATGCGACTGACGCCAACGTGTCGAATGCTCGTCCGTTTGTCCCTGCATTGAATTTTGAACCCTCTCAAAGAAAGTAGTGAAAAAAAAAAGAGAAAAGATAGTACCGGGAGTGGTAGGAATAAAAAAATATCTTGTACAGTATATTCTAAATTTTACCACACATATTTGACATCAAGCAGTTGGCAATGGTGGCCTCGGCCTCGCAATACCAACTACCCCCTTCGACCCTCTCGCAATCAGTTCGCCGAACGAAGCCAAGGCTTCCATCCTCGCGAATTCTCCGCAATGCGGTGGGGTCGTATAATGCGCCATCGAAACAACAGCCCCAGTTTTTGAACAAGGCACCGCGAATCAAACCCACGTAATTCGTCAAATTAGCCTTATGGCCTTCGTATATTTTGACACTGCCGTCCCATTGTCCTTCGAGCGCCGGTCTCTTTCTAGTCTCTTTCTAGTCTCTACCCTGTGCTTTCTCTTGGATGGCGTCAGCCGAATGGACCAGGGCTTTGTCCCTCTTGCGCAATATGTTTGCTTTGGGAACATCGGTTGGCACTGTTTACCTCATCGACCTCATGCAGACGTTTATGTGAATGATCATCACAGCATCAGCTACCATCTAAAGATCCATCTTCTTTCATGCAAGACGATCGTCATAGATACTCTGCGATAGCTTCGATTAAATTATCATTCAGATAAGCGATTCCAGTTTTTGATGAAAAGACAAAAGATTTTTGCTCCTCCGGCATAAAAATTCGACAATGTAATAACTTTAATAACTCGTAATAAAGTCTGGTGGGGTCATATTAGTGTCAGGAGCACGCGTACGCGCACAAAGGGTGCCCGCCCTCGGCAAACACTGTGACTTTTGATGATTATTAACTTCACAGGGTGCTCTCTGTGTACAGGGTAGGCCGTAGACAGTAATCCGTTGCCCTGAAGGCTTTCGCCCGTTCCGCTGCCCTGAGAACCAAATTAATAGTTAGTTCTGCAGGATATCGCGGATTCGGTATTCCCTTACACAATGGGCGGAGTTGCTGTATTTGACGTGTCTCGTTCTAGCAGCTAACTCTATATATATACATAGCAGCTATTCTCGTTAGAGAATTCAACGGGGATGCCTCGTGGGTCGCCATTTTATTATCCAAAAACAGATCTTAGATCGGTATGATAAAAATTTACTGTTATATCCAAGCAATGACTAAATTTTTTCTTCATACCTTTTTCAGGGTTCTGTTCTCGGCTATACGGGGAACAGTGGCGACGCCGAACGGAATTTTTCGGAAGACG